AATAATAATAATAAGTATTTGGGTGTCGCACAATTAATAAATACACAAACAATATAAAAAAAAATCATTATTATTATTTTGTCAAGTCATCATTGTAATAAAGCTGAATGGCAGGAATGTAACAATTTTCCGGCATACCCAATTCTCCGAATTTACGTCTTTCGTCGTAAATTTCATTTTCTTCCAGAGTTTTCCTCATGTTCAATTTTTCACCTTCGAATTTAAACGTGTAACTTTTTATGTGTGAATTCCTTGGCAAAAGTCTTTCGAGAATTTGATAAAGATTTTCTTCTGCTGCCACCTTTCCAGATGTGCGAGAGAAAAAAAAAACAGTTTCGTTAAATATTAAAAGAATTGTTCAATTTTCTTTTTTATTGTATGTAATTAATTTACTTACCCACGCCAAACTGTTCCTGTGGAATTCTGGAACAGCCGTGTTTATGATTTTCAACGGCTTAGAATTTTTCGATAGTAATCCCACGACGTGTTTGTTATTCCGCCACCAGATTCCTTTATGATTTCCCCAAGAAAAATATCGTTGTCGTTATCGTTATCGAAACAATGGATCCATTCGTGTCCACATTGTTGTGCACGTTCTGCGCGAATTCTCCGTGTTTGACCGCCCGTCGGGGATCTGTCCAAGACAGATTTGTCACCTTGTGCATCTGAACCCAGGTGAAAAAACTATAACAAAATTATTATTATTATTTTTTTTTTTTCTTGTAATCAAATTGAAATCGGATAATTATATTTTTTAAAATATACATATATATTTTTGGTTTACGTGGAGACAATTGACGGGCGAGTGACCGTGTGCCGAGACGCCGCAAAGGGCAGTTGCTATCGCCAACATTGCAAATTCTATCACATTCCGGTGGCTCTGCCTTCTGCAGGAGAGATCGCACGTCATTCAAGAGGTTCGTGATCTTCGTTAAAACATTCGTCGTCGACGGCAAATACTCTTCGTGTGGTAAACTCCTGCCTGAAAAAATAAGGTATAAGGTCAGAGAATTATATTTTTAAAAAATTGTGATAATGTTTATGTGTAACGAAAGAAGAAGAAGGAGAAGAAGAAGGAGAAGAAAAAGTGTGATTTTTCATTTTTTTATTTGTTAAGTAAAATGTAGAGCACACACCCACACAGATACCAAAATTTTTCATTGACGTACTACGTCATTTGTTATAAAAGTTGTAAGAGAGAGAGCGAGAGAGAGAAAGGATTTGAAACAGAAAACCGGAAATAAATAAATATATAAATTATATGTCTATACATAAAAATGTAGTCATAAAGGCATAGTTTACTTTAATATGCTGCCACAAAATCAGACCATAAATTCAGACGTTATATTCTTGACAACTGACTAATTTAAATGATACCATTCAAGAAAAACGACAGGAGATAGCCAGTAGAAAAGGAAGAATTGTCTTTCACCATGATAATGCCAAACATCTTCAGCCATGACAACGAGACCAACACTAAATTGGACCAGTTTTTTCCTATTAAAAAATAAAGAAGTTTAAAAATTAAGGTTATTAATAATGAACATAATACAATAGATGAAAATGAATAATTTTACATAATTAATAATATTAATTAATTTTTTTTTACCATAATCAATCCAATACTTACCAAATTCAAATGCGAAATTCCATTGAAAAATAATTAAAAAATAAATGTATTGAATTTTAATGGGTAAAATAAAAAAAAAAAAAAGAAAAATGGCGACGTCAGTTTTTCTTGAATAGAAATGTCAATTTGAAATCTAATCAATTTAAAAAAAAAAATTTTAAATTATACATTAAAATCAAACCTTTTGTTTTGATTTCATTTATGTGGAAAAGTCTCTTTTGTTCTTAAAAAAAAAAAAAACAATGAAAACAACAAAATCTGTCAAGTTTTGTGGGTTTTATCTTAGGAAAACAAAAACGAATCAGAGTTTAGAAAATGAATTTCAAAATAATAAATAAATAATAATCAAAATTAAAAATACATCAAATTAAAATATATATATTTCATTACCATCGTAACAAATTTCAAATTTAATTTAAATCATATTGAAAATACATAAAAATGTTACTTAAAACACAAAAAAAATTTGTTTTCACTTAAATTTTTGTCAGCCATGTTCGAATTGTTCGGAAAAACAAAATACACAGACGGAAAAACAAACAAAGCGATGACAGCGATATCAAACGGTAAAATAATTAACTAAATTTCAGAAAGCCAACAAACATTTTCTTTTTGTCGCCGATACGTGCTGCCAACATTTAATTTAAACAGATTTTTAAAACTTTATAATAATAAGCAACACGATATAAAATATTTAAAATAAATAATAACTACTTAATATTTTATTAACGCCATATTGTTTTAATTTTTTTTCTTTTCTCATAAATTTACCACTCACTACACACTCATATATATTTATATAATTATTAGGTAAGTATAATTTTAATAAAAATAACGTATAAATTTTTCCTTTAAAAGTTTATAAATAGCATAAAATATATATAATATTAATAATAATAATTTTAAAACATAGCAAATAAGTATCAAATATTAATGTAGTTATTATAAATCATAAATATATATATATATATATATATATATATGTATAAAATTATTATTTTAGTTGTTTAACAATTAATAAGTTTAATAATACAAATGCATTAATAATTATATAAGATTAACATTTATAATTTTTTTTAAAATTTTTATTATTATTACATCAATTAATAAAGTTTCTAATTCGAAAATTTAATTTTTTCATTGTATTAATATACATTAATAATGATAATCATTTCTCCTTTAAAATAAAAAAAAAAAAAAAAAAAAAAAAAGAGTGGGATCTGTCCATTTGGCGCTTAAAAAAAAACTTTTGTTAAATCACATCAATTACTTATTTAACTAATTTTATTTGTATTATTATTATTATTATTATTATTATTATTACTATTATTATTAATTTCAGGATAATAAGTAGCGCTGTTAAAAAAATCACGTTGCCAAAATCGATTTGAATAAAAATTTGTAAAAAATAAATTAAAAAATTAAATTAAATTTCTCAATTAAGGCCACTTTTATGTATGTAAATAATTTTTATTTAAATAAAAAAAACCGTTAATTTTCGATTCGTTAATAAAAAAATAAAAAATTTTATAAATAATAATAATAGTCATAAAAATAATAATAATAAAAACAATTAATATAAAATAAATGCGACAATAGAACAAAAAAACGTTTTACTCTTTTTTTCCATTTCCATGTGATTTTTATTTATTTTTTGATAAATTGAAAATAAATTGAAATTTTTTTTTTTTTTTAATTCAAAAAAGAGAAATTTAAATTAAAAAAAAAAAGAAAATGTTAATATAGTAAACATTGAAAATTTTAAACACATATATATATAATAAGCGATTATTTAATATTTATTTAAAATAATTTAAAAAATTCTTAATTATACACGTGTCATTAGACATTAATAAAATTTCGAATTCACGTGGCAGCGTAAAAAAAAAAAAAAAAATTACGAAAAACGACGACGACGACAATGAAGTTCATTGAAACTTTTTCAAATCGTGAATGAAGGAAAATTTTTATTATTCATTCATTTCCGGTTGAAAGTCATCATTCGCTCATAGCAAAATTTTTATCAAAAAAATCATCTGGAAAAATTTAAATTTGAAATTTATTTTTCGAAAAAAAAAAAAAATGGATAAAAAATTTTATAAAAATTCCTTACGTCAATTTTTTTTTTTTTTTTTTCCTAAATTACACGTGTCCCCATCACGTTCTTTCCTACACGTGTGTGTCCACGTTCTTGCCCATTCACGTGTCTTCTTTTTTTTTTTTTTTTTTATAAATAAAACACAAAATGATAACTCTACCTGGAAAAAAAACGAAAAAAAAAAAATAATAATCTTATTAAACTGTTACAATTTTATAACGTGTCATTAGATAAATTAATTAAAATTTTCTTACGTCACAATTCGTATTTTATCCAGTGAAAAAAAATTTTATTAAAAAAAAAAAGTACTCACCCAAAAAAAAAAATTCCTTCCACGTGTGTTCCTGAATTCTCCATGATTATTATTATTATTATTATTATTATTATTATTATTATTATTATTATTATTATTATTATTTAAAGTTTTCGTTTTTAAAGAAAAAAAAAAAGAAGAAAAGAAAGAAAGAAAATTCATTTGAAAGTTTTAAATTAATAGATTTGAATTTCCGGTGACAAGAACTTGAAACCTTTTGCGCAAACAAAGCCGTCAAACAAAAGTTTTTATTAAGTAACTTATCATTATTATTATTATTATTATTATTAACATTAAATCTTATTAAAGTTTTTGAAATTGACGAAACAATATAATTTTAAATTACCTTTAAGAAGGTTTTCTTTTTTTTTTATAATCGAGTTCGAGTTCGAGTTGTCAGATATCGAATGTCAAATACCACACAATTCATTATGGAAGATGGAAAACAAACAAAATAATAATAATAATAATAATAATAATAATAATAATAAGCAATACCTAAAAAGAATAAATGCCGAAGATATTAATAAGAAGAGCACGCACAATTGGCTACGACGTGGAAAACTTAAAATAGAAACAGAAGCGTTTATTACAGCGGCTCAAGATCAGGCATTGCGGACCCATAACTATGAAAAAGTAATTCTCAAAGTCCGCCAAGATGACAAGTGCCGAATTTGCCAATCACAATCGGAAACCATCGATCATTTAATTTCCGGTTGTCCGATACTGGCAAAACATGAATACTTAGAAAGGCACAATAAAATATGTCAATATCTCCATTGGAATATATGCCGAGAATATGGAATGGATGGATTACCCAAGGAGTGGTACAACCACATTCCAAGCCCGGTCACGACAGTAGGCCCATGCACAGTTCTATATGATCAACAAATCCACACTGATAGAACTGTGCCAGCTAACAAACCGGATATCATACTCAGGCATAATGGGGAAAAATGGTGTAAGTTAATTGAGGTATCCGTGCCGGCAGAAAAAAACACCACAGCCAAAGAAGCAGACAAAAGGCTGAAATACAGAAATTTGGAAATTGAAATAACCAGGATGTGGGGAACAAAAACTGAAACGATTCCGGTCATCGTGGGAGCATTGGGAGCCATGCCACATTCACTAAAAGGAAATTTAAAGAAGATTATGAAGAACCTAAAAGAAGAAACCATCCAGGAAATCGCACTATGTGGGACGGCCCACATTCTTCGGAAAATATTATAAATAGCACCACCGATATTCGAGTATTTGTCCCTAAGGAATCGGGTAGAAACCTGGGATAAATATTTAAAAACCCCGACAAATAAGAGCCTTGTCGTGTTTAATAGTGGACATAATAATAATAATAATAATAATAATAATAATAATAATAATAATAATAATAATAATAATAATAATAATAATAATAATAATAATAATAATAATAATAATAATAATAATAATAATAATAATAATAATAATAATAATAATAATAATAATAATAATAATAATAATAATAATAATAATAATAATAATAATAATAATAATAATAATAATAATAATAATAATAATAATAATAATAATAATAATATATATGATATATATAGTATAGTATATATATAATATATAATATATATATATATATATATATATATATATATATCTATATATA